AATTTATTGGTTTATTGGAATCTAGAAAATCCAGGACTGGAGTTTATTGGAATTTATTGGTTTATTGGAATTTATTGGTTTTTTTGGACTCTGGGACAGGAGTTTATTGGCATTTATTGGTTTTTTTTGGTGGAAGTTTGGGATTTCTTGAAAAAAGTGAAAAAAATCGACCGACACCGGGCAGAAACACCAAATCCGATAAAAACCAATAAACCGATAAATTTTATTGGATTTTATTGGGTTTTTATTGGATTTTTATTGGTTTTTGGGGTGGTGAGAAAATGAAAAAAAGCACCCAAACCGGCCCAAAACCGCAGCGGATCAAGGCCAAAGCAGCAGAATCCAAACCAACCCCAAGGCAAAACCAATAAATTCCAATAAACACCCGCGAGACCTGGAGAATAGTGGGATCTCGGAGAGGATTTATTGGTATATGGAATTTAGAGCACCTGTGGAAATTTATTGGTTTATTGGAATCTAGAGAATCTAGGATTTATTGGTTTATTGGAATTAAGAGAATCCAGGAGCGGAGTTTCTTGGAATTTATTGGTTTATTGGAATTTAGAGAAGCTAAATTAAGGAGATTTATTGGTTTATTGGAATGGAGAGAAGTTAAGAAGATTTATTTCAATTTATCGGAGTTTATTGGTTTATTGGAATGTAGAGAACCTAGGAGATTTATTGGTTTATTGGAATGGAGAGAAGTTAAGTTATTGCAATATATGGGAGTTTTTTGGTTTATTGGTATGGAATGCAGATATTGAGTTAAGTAGAATTTATTGCTTTTTGGGACCGTATATAATCGAGTAGGATTTATTGGGTTTTGAGAATTTAGAGACCCGCAGCGTCTTGGAATTTATCGGAAATTGCAATATTCTTAATATATATATATATTTATTTATTTATTTATTTATATATTTATTTATTTATTTTGTTATTTATTGATATATATATATATACACATGTATATATGTATATATGTCTATATCTATCTATATATATATATATCTATATATATACATATATATATAATATTATACTATATTATTTTTCAGACCTTATCTTTACCGGTTGAATTGTAGTCGGAGATATATATGAGCGACTAGATATAACCTTCAATCCGGGCCAGCCAGCTCCAAAACAGCTTGTCTCAGATTCGCCGCACGTGCCCATCCAGGGTCCTGAGATGCAGAGCAAGCCCAAACCCGATAAACCCATACATCCACCTTAAAAACTTTAATTAGACCCGACCAGCCCAAAGCCGAGAAAACTTGATCCCCCGGCAAACCATTAAACAGGACTGGGATTGAAAACTGTTCTCCTGAGAAAACAAGCTATCTATCTACCTCTAGAGCTATACTGTCTATCTACCTATTTATTGTACCCGTCTACACAGCATGCATGCTGCATGTGTCTGTATCCATTTATTATATTATGACAGATAGATAGATAAATAGATACATAGAAAGCTAGACGACGACAGCAACAAGTGCAAGGCAACGATGTACATAATTCATGCGGACAATAAAAGAAGCAGGCTGTATGACAATTCACTGAAACATCCTGTTGTTATATATTTCCTGTTATTTAACTCATGTATACGTATGCACTATCATGCAACATGTAGCTATAAGTTTTTGGGCATAGTATGTCCGGAATTAACATATACAGTGATTACATACTGCAGGGTGGTTTCGAGCAAATCTACACCCAGGATTATGTACGTACTGCCTCTGTGAAGATATCTACTAAACTAGCTATCTGCTACCTCCAGCTAGCCACTCATCCATCCACGTATACAGCTGCATCTACGTAGCGTCTATACATGTACTGCATCCCTTATTCATCAGGCTCGGTCGCATTGTTTTCACATACGTAGCTAATGAAGCGGCTATAGTCTCCATTCCATCATCTATATAGCTGAAACTAGATGAAGACCGTGCTGCAGGCTAGTGTCGCGCATCTGGGATCGTGGGTATTCAAGAAGCTGTCGCCTGAGTACAAAAACTTTTGGGTTGGACATATGCACCCCTAGCAACTGCAGGGCACACAGGACTGCAAACATATGCTTCCAAATTACTCCCGGGCACGAACACAAGATCTGATTTCCTCCTGCGGGGCAGAGTATGTTGTGGCTGCAAATGTAACAGACATGACTCACACCAGTGCGTCACTGCACAAAACTGCATGCATATCTATATATCCTCGTGTCGACCCATACAGCTTGCAAACGGCGACTCCAAAGTTCGTCGGATAAGTCTGCGATGCTTTCAATGTCGGGCCACCAGTGACTCTTGTTCTGCCAAAACAATCAGTCGTCCTCGGCATACGGAATGGTACTTCACTTGCTAAACCGAAAAACAACAAACACATATGTGCTGAAGTCGCACGCACAGACTTGTTTGCACAGGTTTGCCCGTGCTGCTGCCTGCGGGATGCCTTGTAACGGTGGGGACCCATATCTGGTTCTGGGGCAGCGGAAGGTAGAGTTCATCAATGAACTTGTAGTTGCTGTAGATCCACACGGGTTTCGGACCTTAGTAAACACACACAGAGCATGGATCACGGATCTTCCATGGGCACTTGCACGAGAAATTGAATAATTAAGCCAAGGGACTATCGGCCCCATATGATCCCAACCAGATATGCACCTCAGATGATACGGATATCAGATATGGAAACCCATAAGCCGCGGGCCGGTCTCAGGATGCAGCCCAGATGCCTTGTAAACTGTAAATCTTTTGCACAAATACTCAAACATCGGGTGGGTCTCCATGAGTGACAAAGAAGGTTGCTCCACGAACCATGGGAGGTGCAGCTCCGACAGGATCAGTAAGTAGAAGCACATTCTGGAAACCATCAAGTTCCTTGGTTGGCAAGTCAACAAGCTTTATACAAACTCGGTCTGACTTGTGTGATTAATGCAGGCAGCCACTCTCAAAATGCATCGCAACTCGATGGCTCCTTTTTCCGACCCTGCAAAGTCTGGAGAAGCTCAAAACCGTATGGTTGCCCTCGATCGATCATGGCCCCAAATCCACGGAGTCGGCATACTCCACGAGCTTCTCGAAGGCAGTCTTCATGGGCTGGCTCCGCCATGTGATCCTTAGTTACATCACACTCACAGCTACGTACCTAGCTCCGGCCACACGGATGCATTGAATGCTGTCTACGGCTCGATGCAGCCTTCACACCATTCGTCTTCGGCTTGAAAGCCTGCTGGCGCAAGAGCACCTCCACCTTGTGCGTCCGGCCGCGGCGGTCCATCACAACCCTCAGCAACTCAACATCGTCACAAGTGTTGCAGCGACAAACTACACCTAGACATGAACTGAAAAATCTGAATACCAAGGCTCTTTGTGTAGCTGTGCTTCCCGTGGTGGGTGCTGTCCGGCTTGAGCGGGTTGGGGATCATGGAGATGCTGTGGCGGTAGCCCTCCTCGAATCTGTTCATGACGTCCTCACTCACCGTCTGGTGACACTCGGAATCGGCCAAGGGCATCGCGCACCCCGAAACACCTTCATCGAGGAACGCACCTTTGATAGTTCACTCAATGATCGACATGCTAGAGACATGGAACTGCTTCCCGGCAATATCTAAACCAAGACACCTCTGCGCTTGAGTGCCGAGGGCCGCGTTCCGGGCTCGTCCGTGGGCTCCGGCATAGGTCCCTTATCATCACCGGGGGGCACCTTGGGCTTCTTGGCCAGCTTGGCCTTCTTGTTGCGCTTCTTGGGCTTGGTTCCTGCACCTGCATAAACAAGTACATCACACAAACTG